TGGAGTAGTACGGCTTGTTCCATTTTTCTATTTCCTCTCTGGTAAAAAAATCTGCCTCCTTTTTTTTAATGAATATGTTGTTGCTCTTCGGGTTGTTATACTCGCTGATGAGAATCCAAGTGAGTCCAACGGTTATTCCTAAAAAAAAATGGGAGGGGAGTGAAGTGTATTTGTATGTGTGAGAGGGGATCATATGAACTGATAAGTGGAATACAGCGGAACGTTGTAGTCTTCACGTGGGGCATAGATGCGTCTACACATGATATGCATGTTAGATAGCACACACAAAATTGAGACGTGGGAATGCTTTCGATTGGAGGTCCTTATCTGCACTCTGTTCTTGAGTTTACCAGAAAACCATACGCTAATCCTGAACGCAGGACTTCCCCTAAGCAACGCAGTTCTTTTAAAGTTTTTTACTTCCTTAGTAAGCTTGTCCTTTATGCTATTCATCGGGGGTGGGGAAGTTGAGGTTAATTTGGGTTCACTCTTGGGGAGTAATTCAGTAAAAAAGGGGTTCATTAAATGGCTTGAAAAAGGGTGGAGTAACATATAACGGTGGTGAGGATAAAACGCGGAGAAGAGGAAAAAAAAAAAAAAAAAAAGCAGAGTTGCCAAATGACACAAACGGGCAGAGATAAGGATAAGCAGCACAAAGAGAATAACGCTCTTTCGAAATGTTTGTGGTAAGGTGGAGCTATCGTTTACCTAAAAAAGTGCTAATTGGGGACAACTGGCGAAGGCGCATATGTTTAGAAACTCGTGTGCTGCAGAAATGTCACACGTGCGTAGGGGAGTGCTAAAACAGGTGCATAATTATACCTATACATGCATCTATACCTATGTACACGAGGCACATGCGTGTGAGCGTCGTAGAAGTATTTTTTCGACGTTTTAAAACCATGAAAAGTACGCGAGAGTGACTTGTGAGCCATCGCAAAATTGACGAGGTTCACTGCTCCTTCGAGGGTCACTCTTTTAATTTGGTTTTTAGTGGATCACTAAATGTGGCCACTCCTCAGTGCATAAAATTTGCATAAATGCCAAATGGCGCGTAAAAGTACATGTGGGCTTACATATGTAAAGTCGGTTGCTCCTTGATATGTTTTTTTCTGTGGGCTCCTCGTCTCCACGCCCGATTCGCCAAGCGGTGTAAAAAAAAAATCTACACCTTTTAAAATGCAGTAATGACAAACAGGTACGAAGGCGAAGTAGATAATGTTTCTGGGATGGCACACAAACAAGTTGCTGTTGAGGAGCAGGAAAAATGTAACTTTACCGTTAGCAAGAAAATGGAACTTTACAAAGGAGGTGCGTCATTTTGCAGCTAGCTACTTATTAGAAGAGGACGTCGGGATCAAGTATTTTATGAGCGATTTCTTAGGTGAAAATGGGTTCGATGGAGAGGAAAAAAAAGACGACCTCGTGTGTATCTTTAAATATAGATGTGAAGATTTTCACGTCTATGAAATTGGGAAAGATAAAAATGTTTTGAATTTGAGCTATGTTAGGGAGAAGGTACAATGTGAGCTTGGGAGTGACCACGCCAATGACGAAGTGAGACACCGCCTCGAAAAGCTAGATGGTGGTGATAAGGCTAAACAAAAGCACAATGTAACAGCCGAGAAACTTGAAACCGCGCAAGAGCGGAGAGATCACGATGGATGCTACAGTTCGCCACAACAAGATGGGGAAAGTAACTCCCCAGATGAGGAAAACGAATGGATAAATTTTATTCTGTATAAGGTGAACAAAGACACACAAGAAGCCATCAGAGAAATTAGTAAAAGTACGAACATCCCCATAAAAGATTTTTACTACGCAGGTTTTAAAGACAAAAGAAGTGTGTCGACGCAGATAATTTCCACTAGCATCATGCACCTTCATAAAATAAGGAACATGATGAGCAGTGGTCTGTCGAATGATAAAAAAATGAAGAAGATACAAATTTGTAGCCTTGAAAAGGTGCAGAAAAAAATCGAGTTAGGCGCACATAGTGGCAATCGATTCGTGGTAGCTCTCAGAAATGTACAAACACATGAGGATTATTTAAGGCATAAATTGGACCAGATTAAAAAACATGGGTTTATAAACTATTTTGGAATGCAAAGATTTGGAGTATATAAAAATACCTTCAATAAAGGGAAGGCCTTAATACGCAGGGACTACAAAGGATACATAGGACATGTCTTAGATCCTCTCATTTTTGAAAATAAAAGATTTTATGGAAATGCTACTAAAGATAATCTGACGATTTTCTTGAAAAATGCTTGCGACATATATCAGAAAAAGAACGCCACCTTCGCGTTCCGTTATTTGTCTCACAAAACGAATAAGCTGCTTAAAAGGAGCGACGCGATTCCGCGTGACGATCTGGGCAAGCCGGCTAGCGCGAACAAGCACCTCTTTTCGTATCTGACCAATTCGGAGTACGAGGCGTACATCCTCCTGCGAAATTTGTACATGTGCGAGAGGAATAGCCGCGGAAGGGGAAGCGGTGGTAGTGGCGGTTATAGCAGTGATAGCGGTCTCACCGATCGCAATGATGGACGAAACAAAGCGAATGAACTCGCTGAAACGGAGAAGCAGAAACGTTTCGTCGACAATGCACAGAATGGTCCCGGCAGGGAGCATACTAACGCGCCCGAGGAAGAAACCCATTTTTACAAGAACGAGAAGACATGTGTTAAGGGGGTAAGCATGGAGACAAGGAGATTTCACATGCACTCCTACAGCGCGAAAATATTCAATATGTTAACCTCGTATCGGTTGGAAAATTTCGGTGCCGCGCCTAGAGAGGGGGACTACGTCTTTGTGAAGGAGGTGCAGTCGAAAGGGGGGGAAGCAAAAGCTCAGCATAATTACATAGCTGTGTTGTATGGCAGGGGGGAAAGCGGCCGTAGGGATAGTGGCGGAAGGGATAACAGCGGAAGGGATAGCAGCGGAGGGGGCAGTAGAAGTGGTGATGGATCTCTCTACTGCGATGGCCAATTGAAAGGTGCAAACATCTATAATGTTGTTTTGCCCGTCTTGGGCAGCATGCCTCCCAGGCTGTCCTACCTAAACGTCTTCAAAAAGCTGTACAGAAAATACAGGGGAAGACAAGTAAGACTCGTTTTCTTAGAAATATTACTCTACCTCATGTGTACCCTTCACGAAGATGAGCTGTTTACGGTGCATGACGATAAGGTATCAAGTGGGTTCCTAAAGCATTTGATAAAAAAGGATGAAAAGGAAAATGTTAACCAGCCCATTCGACTAGCTAGCGATAATATATTAAGTAATGCCATTCCGATTAAACAAGCCTTACATACAATAAAAAAGTTTGATACGTATGTGAATTCATTTGAATACGAGTATGGAATGACTTGTGTCTTTAGAAACATAGTCACAAGGCCAGGCAATCTGTATTTCTGCTTCTGTCAGTATAAGGAACCGAAGAGGAAATTCCTCTCCGACTTGTATGCCTCCTCCAATTTTGAGAAAGATGAAAATTCAAAAGGGAAAGTACATGCGCATCGGTGCAGCGAAAGGGGAGTATGGGACGATGGGGAGATGGAGAGCGTCCCCACCTCTGTCATCAGGCATAGCAAAATGTCTGTACGTCGGGGTCCAGCTGAACCGATCGATAGGGATAAAAAGAGGAGATGTTCACATAATGTGGATGCAAGTGGGTGTAACAATACTTCCCCAGAAGAGAAAAAAGAAAATAGGAGCAATGAACATTTTCAAAGTGAAACAAGAAGTCATAGGAGCAGTAAAGAAAAAATGACGAAATGTGAGAGAAATTTCGGTGCCCTGATATTAAGCTTTAGCCTGAACTCATCCTCCTATGCCACGATGTTGGTGCGGGAGTTGTACGGAAAACGCAATGAGCTCCTGGTTTACAATTTGATTAAGAATTGTGAGAAGTATGACAAAGAAGTTGAAATGTCAGGAGAGAAGATATGGGCAAGGACAACAGAATGAGGGACCAATCGGGGAAGACGAAAATATGGTCGCGTTTTTTTTTTCTTTTTTTTTTTTTTTTCTTTTCTTCCTAATCATGTATTGATTGCGCAGGTTATAATAAGACGTTCCATAGGGTATTCGCATGCTACCTAATTTAACATTACAAATGATGAGAAAACTTTAGTGGAGTCCTCGCCCACATAGGGCACACTTGTAAACTTGTCCAATCTGTTTTTTATTATGTCTGATATTTTCCGCTTCTAACCAGCCCATGCCTCATTACGACGTGGAACAAAAAAAAAAAAAAGAGCATTTTCTTTTAAAAAAAGTGCACAACGCGTCGATTTGTTTTGCCGTTCCATTTGGATCGGCGTGGGAACACATTTTAACACATCATTGGGGAAGTGGTTTAAAAAAAAAAATAAAAGGAGAGTTAGTGTACATGGGGAAGAGTGGAAAAATTGTTTCCATGTAAGAAGATATATATACGACGATAATATTAATTAAAAGGGTTCAAAAAAAAAAAAAAAAAAAAAAAAAAAAAAATACAAAGCTGAGTGCGTGGACATACTCACATGTATACATAAACAGGCTTTCATACATATGAGGGACATATAAACATGAATCCCCTGAGCTTCTGCAGTTACGCAGATGGGGAGGTGTATACGGGGAAGCACGCATCGGGC